AAACTTTGAAGCACCACAAAATGTGATTTTGATCTCAGGAACATTACAGTGAATTCTCACAGCCTTATGGGAATAATGCTACACAAATTAATAGAAGTCGGGTCACTCTGTTTTGGTATTTGGCACAGCAGGTGATGGAACTGGTGATACTACTTCTTGTTTCAGCACCAGAGAAGATCCTCCTTGAAGGAATGTTGGAAAAGATCTGTCAACACTTTCAGAAGCGATAGCAGGTGACATGGACAGTGCAGGATTAGCCACTGCAATGATGTTGCCTCCACTGGATGCAATGACCTGAAAACATTTGACCACTTGTTATTACGTGACAGTCCAAGGCAGAGTGAGTTGCTTGTGAAATAAGAGTATACATTTTTCTTCAAATTTTGAAGATTTGGTAGAGCTATTCAGTTTTTTGGGATGTCAAAAAGTAACCTAGAAAGAATTACTTTCTTGAATTCGTAGGTCATAAGAAATATTTGTATCAAAAGTTGTCGAACTAATACATTAACAAAAAATGTATTACCAATATTGTGTATTATCCAATTATTTAATATCCTTTGAAGTAGCACCTCATACATGAACACACCTCCAACAGTTCTGCCATTATAGGTCTCCAGGAGCGTGGTGACTGGAATTCCGTTCAGATTTCTTGTCATGGCTTATTGTCTGCACTTTGCAGTTGTTATGTCCTTTCAGCACTAACTTGAGTCAGGAGACGAGAGAGTCTGGGGGAGCGACATCTTTCTTCTCCCCCATCTGAGCCATCTCAAGTTAGTAGTGCCCAGAAACCAATTTCCACCAAACTATATCCAAAATTTTAAGCTTATTTTAGGTTAATTAAATGCTCTATTCCTGAATTTTAGGCTCTTTTGGATCTGATTTTTTAAAAATGAAAATGCAGGAATCTTTTTTTAAGTCTAAAATTTTGCATTGGGTTTCAATTTTTTCCGAGGATGTTTGATTTTTTTTAAATTTGCCTATAAGGAGGTATGTTAACTGATTCTCTTTGTACAGACCTGCTTTTTGGAATGAAAATACAGGAATAATTGTTTCTTTGAACCTCAAATTAGCATTAAATTTTAGGTAGGGTTTCAGATTTTTCTAAGGTAGGTTTTTTGCTTTGTTTATGGGCACATAAGAACCAATGTTACTTGTTTTTCTTTGTACGGTTCTGATTTTTGGAATAAAACTGGAATTTTTTTCTAGAGCCTCAAATTAGACTAAAATTTTGGGTAGGGTTTCATATTTTTGAAATAGATTTTCTAGGTGGGCGCTGCTAGCTTTAGACTAAAGCTAGCAGCACCCCCGATTTTGGGAAATCCAAAAGATCCTAATATTCGGGAATGTAATATTTATTTAGCCTAAAATTTTATTTGGATATAGTTTGGTTGAAATTGTTTTTGGGCGCTGCTAGCTTTAGATGGCTCCCCACATGTCACATACAGATTTTACTGTCCTTTGATTAAATAAATCAAACCGTTGGGCGCGTGGGATAGCTGTTTGTTGCATCACGTTCTCTCCCACGATGTTGGGTTCGGCGCATTGTCGAGGCGAAGCTTCCAGGAATTACCGATGGCTGGGCGGATGCGGAAGATTCTTTCCATTGGTGTACCATTCTCAGCCATTGCCATTATCTAAGAATTCTAGTTCATACACACTATCGAGATGTTCTTGCCTTCACTCGCTTTGCCTTTTGACCGTCAAAATCCTCGTCTCCAAGTTTGCACGCACTTTTCTTATTATTAAATTTTTCAATTCGATTCACAAGACTTCTATAAGTTGATACATCCAGCAACCATGAGACAACTCAACCGACGATCACGTTCCAGAAGAGTGTTCACTTCCATCACATTTGCTTTGACGGTTGAAGTAGTCAAGCATTCACTTCCTTCAGAGTGCTCTCTTCTCGTAACATGAGCTATTCAAAACTACTTAATCTACCCGTGTCACTTAGACGCCCGGATGATGCCGAGAGGTTCACTTGCAGGTTTACAGAGTTTGGGCAAAAATTAAGGCTGTTAGGATGAACGATTTATGTCGGGGCGGGACGAAGTTACTTAGTATCGGTTCACTCGACGTGTACAATACACTCCGCAAAGGACCGCAGGCGAGTGACATCTGTCTCTGGAATTTCCCGACAGCCTCCGCCGGCACGTCCGGCCGCGGAGACCCTCGAATCCTCCATCTAGTCGCGAAAAATTCAGACCAACTACTTTTGGGACAACTATTGTAGGTATTTCATGCTCCTCTAATATTGGTTCAGAATGGCTGGTAGTGGTAATGCTAAAGGGGAAATTATTTATTCAGCAAAAATGGAAAGAAAAAAAAATACAGACAAAACTGATGCAGGGCGGTACGTATTCTGTTCTCCTCACTTTTCGAGGAACGTACTTTTTGCGGAGTTTGAGAGGGTCAGGGTTTTTTCAAGTTGTTTGAGACACTGGCTGGTACCTACTATTATTGAGCGAAAGTACATCGCAATGTCCTGAACCTTTAAGAAATAATTGGAGGTCCCCATAGTTGGTAAGGTACTGATAATATTAAAATACAACTATCTCCGTCATTAGTGATGACAAACACATATCTCTCCGTAAAATACGCTGGTCTGTCCAGTTGATTTTACGGAGAAAGATGTGGCTCAGATTATAAACCTAGAAATCACTTCAAGAGCACACGCTCTGGCTCCAGGCATGTAACGTAATCTCTGTATGAAGACAGAATAAGACTTCTTCGTGCTTCTTGTACTTACTGTTTCTTTTTCGGTATACCAACAAAACTTAATACTTGACATCCCAATATCAAGTATTCAATTTAAATTATGAAATCAGTTTACTAGAATGTTAATTGACTCTGATTTCTGATGTTAAGAAATAATTGAAAATAAAAAAACGATAACAATACCTGTACTTTGTTCTCTTGATGAGAGTCACAGGATGAGCGTCTTAGTACGGATTTTTCTCTGTCGCTAATTTCATCCTGGCTTGCCACCATTTCCTTGACAACTCTCAAGCCCTCGTCTAGGAGAGTATCTTGTACTAACTGCAAATACATACAACATTTTAAAGTAAAATTAATAAGAAATTTAGGAATAAAACAATATTTATGATTGTTATACATAAACGAATATAATAATAGAAATTATCAAGTTTTGTTTGTTCGTTCACAGAGTTAAGATTCTCTTCTTTATGGAAAAACACTCTTCCCTTTTGTAAAACATAAAACCTGGGAGTCAAGGAGACTATTACCGTACTTTGAGAAAGTTAGAAAGAATTAAATTATAAAGAACTTGGGGAAAAATACTACAGATCAAGGAAGAAATAATATCTTATTCAAGAACCTTTAGTAGGAAAGATACACAAATTATGGATGGTTGGCATCAGTCGATAGTTTTTATTTATTTTTTTACTCAACTCCACTTTAGTTGTGAAAACTTTGATTATACAAGTATACTAGTATCTACTGATACTACATTTTTTAGAAAATCGTATGGTACTTCTTTTTTTCGTCAATATTGACTGTCAAACTTTTAAAGTTTTTAGGGGTCATCGGGCAACATGGGCCACCCAAGCCCACTTCAGGAATTGCTTGGCGCAAGCCTTGGGGCTAGTTTGGAGGACTACTTCCGTGAGAGTGGAACGTAATAACCATTGCCAAAACGAATATTTTTAATGTTATTTACCAAAATAATTATTAAAAAATATTAAATTCACTCGAGGGGGTATTTATTGTTGTTTAGACTCCACTGTACTCGAAAAAAAATGAGAGAAGCAAAATGTTTTGCGAAAAAATGTTTTTTTAATGTCTAAAACGCATATGACATCACGATTTCACCACCGTTGCGGTGATACTTGCTGCAGTGATACTGATTCTTTAGTGGAAAGTTGGGTAGGTCATAAAGATCTCATAACACATGTTAAACGTACGTGGAAAATACAGGAACCCGAGTGCAGTGGCGGTTTCTGGCGGCAGGGGATGGAAGGGAGGAACAATTAAAATATTTGCTTTGATGATTCAGGAAAAATGAATAACTTTTGTGTTGATTACTACGAGAAGGTTAATTTGATGTAGTTTTAACCTAGGTGCTCTTTTAAGCTTAGCGGAAACGATCGCAGTCAATGGAAGAGGCTCCGACGAGGGACATCCTTTCTCCTCTCGTGAGTTGATCGCCACTTCTCTCCGCGTTCCACCGACGGCGAGCAGAGGAGCCTCCGTCAAAGCTCGTCGGGCGGAATGTTTCTGCACCGTTTCTATGCTTATGGAATGCACGTTTTTGCCCAGAAAGTAGTTTTTCAAACCAACTTTTGAGTGCTTATAGCTGCTTTGCCATTTGAAATGTTCAAATAGTTTATTAGACAAAATATGCTTAAAATTTTTTTAGAGAGTCTGCAAAGAGATTCTTTTTGAAGTTTCGACGTTTCCTCCCCGGACAGCCTGTATATTGGATAAGATTTATTCTCTTTTTCGATACCAAGTCCCCACAATACTTTTTTTCTGTCAAAATATCTTCGATTTTTGAAGCAGCATTACAATACTTACTCTTTACTACGTACGTAGGGAGAAGGTCAAAAAGCGAAAAGTCTGTGACGCTCCGAATAGAGACGCGACACTCGGATGAACAAACTCTGCAATCGGTGAAGGGAAAACATTTTCGATCTAGTAATGTTTTGAACCTAGAAAATCAGGATTGATTTGACACCAGTGGGAGGAGCATTTCTTGTATTTGCATTCACTTTATATATCCGTATAAAATTCAGAAGTTCGCCGAAGAACAGAAAGTAGATCAATTTTCAAAGGTATTTTTCACATTTCTCTCGGATTAAAATTGTTCTTTGCTTGTGATGACTTTTGAAAGATGGCGACACTAAATATTTAATTTGTGACATTAAATATTAAATATGAAGACGAAAAAGGAAGAAAAAAGAAATGAAGAAGAGTATTTTTTATAATTGTACTAAGCTTAAAAAGCTTACGAGGGTGGTGAATGTAGCGATGAATTAATGACAATGCTGATAATAATTTACAATGCTTGGAATGAAAAACACAAAGACCAGTTAACTATCTGTAACCTCGGAAACCAAGGTGGGAAATAAGCTTCCCGCTAACGAAATGAGAGGTGGCGAGTAACGATCATGACGTCTGGAAGGCGAGGCGGAGAAAGAGCGGAGGAAACCTACTGCGAGCCCGCTTCGGCTAAAATTTCTCAGAGGGTGAGTGGAATTCGAATTCCAATTTCCGCAGGTGATAAGGTCAACCCCTGGCTGCTACGAACCGACTTAAGAAACAGCCGATGGGAAGGATTAAATATTAGAACGTACGAGTTTAGAAGAAGCAAAAGTTGCAGATATAAAAGAGGAATTAAAAAAAGAAGGATACAAAGACGAAGAAGATGAAACCAAGAAGAAAGGAAGTGTTAGAAGGAAAAATAATAAAAACTCGAATTATAAGAAAAAGAAGAATGAAAAAAGCAGAAGACTAAGAAGATGGACAAGAAGAAATGTTACAAGAGCTAAAAGAAGTGTCAGAAGAAGAAGAACAATAACAAGGAGAGTTATTTAGTTGTTTTATCTACAAGGATAACCCGCGCGTGTTTTAAGGGGAGACTCCATTAGCGCCGTGGGCGGTGGAAGCTCTAACAGCGCCCGCGCCATCGATTGCCGGGGGCAGCCCCGCCCCCTTGGCCGCGACTCCATCGCTATCGATTCTAACAATGCCTCTCCACGCACCTCCACCCCCGAGCGCGGGCCTTGCAAAGCAACCCATCAGCTCCCGTACGCCCTCTCCGTACTTGATCCGGGCCGGACCCCAACTCACGGATGTCGGACACTTTGAGTTAATCGCAGAGGCAGAAAGTAATGATTTATTTTTCAGACGATCATGGGATACTTTGTCTACAAGAGCAAGGTATAGCTTCAGGAGTGACGATAGGTATCTTTCTCGAATAGACGAAGTATTTGAGCTTTGGCCGTCACCCCCTCAAAGAAAATGTGCAATTCGTGCCCTGTTCATGCCACGAGCGCATTGGAGATTTCCGAATTCACGAGAAGCGCAGGAACGGGTGATTTCTATGGAAATTTCCAATTCACGAGTGCAATTTAATAAGTCTATTTCTCCAACTAAATTATGTATATTTCTTAATCAAGTCTATTTCGCTGATGAAATTATGAGAAATTCGAATGTGTCAAAATATCAATATATTAATGTGGTTCATTTAACAACCATATTCTCGTTAACCCGTGATCCACGGTTCAAAACGGAGGTCCATAGTTCAATACATAGTGAATGATTCATTCATGGTTCCATGCAGATGTCAATACACATCACCTTGAATAGTTAGTGAGTCGCAGTTGCCTAGTTGTGAAGAGGTGGACAGAAAAATATGAAAAATCGATTAGTTTTTGATATACCTTGTACTTTCGAGTTATCACTGCCGTTTGGTTTCTGTTCTTGAAATCATAAGGAATAAAGACTGCGCTGCTCCATCTTCATTATAAAATTCAATAATCTGGATCTGTTTTAATATGAAAGACATCATTCAACATAGTGACCCACAATCTTGTGAAAACCGCGTGAAACACGTGTTCAACAATGAAATGTTGATTTTCAATTTCCAGATGCAAAATACTTACGAAAATTGTAAGAGTCAAGACTTACAGAGTAAAAATAAAAAAGTTATGTATGAAATGTACGAGTATAAAGTACTTCATTTTCATCAGAATATGCATTGCATAGTAGTATATAAGTAATAAATAACATTACATGGCAGTACATCGCCATTTTCTCATGGCGCCATTTTCAATGGCTCCAAAGCTTTTTTGATTTAACTTTGTCCTTAGAGTAAATGACGCTGAATAGTGCAGACATCGGGAGAGATGGCTCAGAGCTGATGTCTCTGCAGTCCCTCTGACCGGGAGGTCCTAGGTTCGAGTGGTGGCAGGGTTTTCGACACTAGCTTATCTTCTGGGTCGCTTGTCACTGCCTGAAGAAGAATTCTAGCGGCCGGCTGCTCTGATCGGTAGTATTCCTTGGTTTCTCCGACTAATACCAGGCGAATTCCGGAGCAGTACTCTAACAAACAATTCACGGACCGCGCGCGATCTTTCCTACCTTTTCCTAGTCCTAATAGGACAAGGAAAAGGTATGAAAGATCTCGCGCGATCCGTGAATCGTTACCCTTACATCCTTACACACACACACACTTAAACTAACATATATTACACTACTACACATGCCAGGAGAACGGTCGGGAGCCTAGAGCTTGTCCCGGCTGGGGCGGTGCCCTACTGGTGGGAGATACCTGGTTGGGAAAACCCCGTTAGCCTACGGTAGGTCGGCGCCGGATCTAGCCATCCAGCGGGGGAAGACCCCCCATCACCGAGGAAGAACATGTACGACACTTACGGGACCAATGACCATTTAGTAATTGACCCTTCAGGAATCACTGTCAATCAATTAATCTCAAGAGTGCAGACTACTTTTCGAGTAAATTCGCCGATTTTTCGAAAACTGTAAAAGTTCTATTTTTTCCGCATCTTCCTACAACTTACAATATTGAAGATAGGAGAGTTTTCTGAATGTGATATGCTATTTAAATGTAATGATGCTCAAAGAATGTAAGCCCCGAATGTAATATGCTAAAAAATCTTGAAATAAGATTATGTACAATTTTTCGAAAATTGAATAGTTGTTGCATAATTTTGTATAAAATAGGGCAATTGTTAGTTTTTTAAAACATTTTTCTGTCAAAAGCGGCTCCAATTTTTTTCTTTCAATTTTCCCCCTCGTATGTATTATTAGTGAAATAATTGGTAGCGGTCTATGGTTTTTCCTTGGGGCCAAGGAGAGATGAGGGGTGGAGGGCGCTCACCTGCCTGGAGATCTTGCAAGGGCCGCGGCCGGTCAGCGCCTCGGCAGCGCCTCCCCCGCCCCCGCCGCCGCCGCCGCCGTCGCCCTCGTGCGCCTCAGAGTCGCGCGAGTCTCCCACGTCCTGCGCACGCACACGCGCCCGTCATGCCCGCCCGCCACGCGCGCTCGACACGGCCCTCCAGACCCAGCAGCCCCGCCCACGCACGTGACAAAGAGCTAAAGCATACGAGTTAATGAAACACTTGTGGTATGCGCTGTGTGTTGAGTTTTGATTCAACAAACGATTACGTAGGCTTCCGCGGCCGGAGTTTGTATTGTCCACGTCTGTCGTGGTGGCTGACGTTTCAGCCAACATGTGGCCTTCTTCGGAGCGTTGACCGAAAAGATCGTTCCGGGTAGCCTAGACAATACGTTGATTCAATAAGTTGTATGTGCTGAAGTAGTTGGGTTCAGTTACCTTGTTAAAAATGTCGCCTGTAGCTTATGACCAATTTAATTACCTCCGATTGCTCATTTCCATGTCAACGGTGTGTCTTAGGTGTCCGCGATGAACGACCCATTGAAAACATAGTTGAATGTAACCATCACGAAACTTCAAACGTGTTTAATGCCAAAATACAGATGAAGCTTGACTCGCTTCAGGCACCTGACTTCTTGCTTAAGTGTTTCTTCTTGCCCGAATACGCGTATGTTTTGCAATTATCCATATGCTTTAGATTTTTGTCAAGAAAATACTCGCTTCTGGAAGACGCCGCGACCTGAGCATGGTTGCCAATGTCGTCATAGTGCGACCTCCTTCGGGAATGCATCATTTAAGCCTAAAGAAGGTCGCAGTATGACGACTGAAAGTTGGCAATCGTGGCAAGACGGTGGCTTCCAAGCTGCAACCCGCGGAGGATTGCATCTTCTGGCTCTGGAGGAACGCGCTTGAGCGGGGCACTGTGGCAGAAACAGGAAAAGGGGCACGACCCCATTTAAATAAACTGACTGAAAACTCTGTTCGGAGTTGGGGTGAAGGTTGCCGTACACTCCCTAATTTCAAGGTTTTCCACGCTCAATTTATTGATAACAGCACATTTAGTATTTTATGAATCATTCATCAGTATCAATAGTGTATTTACATATAGTGCAAAACACAGGTATATTAGAATATTTATAAACAAAGTTGAATATAATTTTTTTTCAGGTATTAAACGATTAAATGAAACTTCGTAACAGTGCAGGCTTGTTGAGCCACAGGTCTGGCTGCCAAAAAACATGGTTATTTCCTTGCAAAAAAAAAACCTCTTCTACCTCGATTGTGAGGCCTATCTCTCGATTGCACATAGTTCATTATTGAGTAACAAATCAAGTAGCAACGACGACAGATGTACACGCGAGGGGCAGGCCGGGCCTCTCAGCGCGCCCTGTTCGCCCTCCGCTGCTTCGGCCTCTTTGGGAGGCGCGCGATGTGAGTCGCTGGCTCCTCGGCCTTCCGACCTCTGTGAGTTGGCCGGAAAAAATGGGATTTTAACCAACCTTGGTACATTGTTAGCCCACCAAATATTTTCATTTACTTACCCACTCAAAAAAGTAGACGCGTAATAAATTTTCGGGCCAACTTCACGCTGGCGGGGAAAAATCTGGGATTTTAACGAAATTAGGTACATAATTTGCCAAAGTTGGCGCAGCAAAGATGTTCGTTTGTCCGCTCACCCAAAAAACGTTCGAGTGCATAAAAATGTTGGAGACACACCAGGCCGGACGGAAAAATCCACGTATGTTGACGAAACTTGGTATAATGTTTGCCCAGACATGCCCTAACGAAACAATTTTCGGGCCAACTCCACGCGTGCCGGAGAAATTCCAGTGCAATACGGTCGCGGCGCGGCGCAGCGCAGCGCTGGGCTACCTGCGAGGGGGAGCTGGCGTTGCTGAAGGAGAGCTGCGAGTCGGTGTCGTCGGTGTCGGCTCGCTCCCCGTCCGCCGCCGCCCCCGGCGCGTGCCCGCCGCCGTGCCTGCAAAACCTGCGCGAGCGCGCGCGCGCGTGCCAGTCCTGGGCTCCGCCGCTGCCGCACGCGCGCGCGAGGGGCAAGGGAAGGGGGATGCTCGCGTCGCCGCGTGGCCGCCACGTGGAGTTCACAGGGGTGCGCGCTGCCTGAGGACGACGAGACACTCGTTTATTTAAAAACAACAAGGAATCAAACTGAAACCGGAACCTGTTTCGGTTTACAAACCGTAATTAAAACCATTTTTTTTGTATACTGTACTTTGTATACTGTATTTTGTACTGCACAAATAATGACGTATTAGCACTTGACAGTACGAATGATGGTGACATCACACATTCAGCCAATCCCAGCTAGAGAATCGTGGGGAGGTAGCGGCAAACGGAACAGCCGACCACAGTTTTCTCCCCGAGACGACAGAAGAAAGCAGTTTTGCAAAATAAAGCTTGATTCTATTATAAATTTATAATGCTGTTATACAAAAATAGCGTATGCCACTCGTTTGTAATGTTGCTTTATTGTATTTGTAAAAATTAAAAAACTTACTCCCAATGTCGCTCGCTTTCAAAACTTGTACTCATACAATAACGCTTATCATAAAGTAATTGCATAAACTACTAAATATTATTAACCGAAACAGGAACATTATTTGAAGCTGTTTTATGCTTTTATTTGACTTGCTCTGTATGCCATTAAATATCGTTCCATATAATTTGACTTATGAAACTTTGATGATGTAAATAACTTTTCGTTAACTCATTATAAGTGGCTTAGGCGCTTTCGGACATGTCTTCTACACTAAATTCTAGGTAAAAAAGGCCAAACTTATGAGTCTCCTAATTTGGATTCAGGAAATTGATGACCTACATAATTTTCAAGGCGGTTCACGATTATGTTGATTTTGGATGTGAGGCCTGTACACTTTCTATGCTAACAGGTTAAAGGAAATTTTATACATTTTTTTAGAAAGTGTCAAGTTAATGAATAAGCATCCTGCTGCACTAATACGTCACAGACAAAATAAGAAACCCTATCTCCATGAAGCTGGGATTGACCTACTTTACGAGTGTCATGCACGTTATTTCCGAGCTGAAATGTAGATATTACTCTGAACTTAACTGAACAGAATGTATGTGCGTTGGGAAATGAAACATCTGCAATAACGGTTTACTGCATACTGACGTATAAAATTAGATATGCTCGAAGTTTGTTTTACTGTATACGAAAACGAGCAAAAACCGTTTCAGGCGCCCGGTATATTGTTGGCAATTAAAACAATTCTTACAAATGCGTAACTTTTGTATTATTTTATTCACAAATGATTAAAACATCATTTTTACTTATTGGAACTTTCGCTGTCGTTTTCTTCAAATTTAACTTAGTAAAAATATTTTTCCGTCTAGACGTTACTGCAAAAGAAAATCTTTCACGCATTCATCGACAAAAAATAAGCGACGTTTAAAGGGTTTTAAGGAAATAAATGATTTTTACTAGGAAAGAAAGTATGTACAAATTTGTAATGTAATATTAGTTTGAAATGAAAAATGTAATATATATTGTAATTCATTTTTTGACAAATAGTGGGGTGGATATACGTACTGCTAGTTAATAAAACCCTCCACAAGCATAATTTATTCGGGATGTGTATAAAATATGACAGTAGTTGACTTTATGATTCGAAGTTTCCAAGTGTCTCATGTGATATGTTTATAATTTAAAATAATTCTAGTATTTGAAATAATTTATTAGTTGAATGATACTGACAGCGAAATTTTTGGGACGTATCAAATATCGAAACTAGATGTCGCAATTATTTCATTAATCTAATATAATGAAAGAAACATTAAGAAATATATCGATGTTTGAAAAAAACTTTTCCGATCCTGATCATCAAGAATATATTAAGTACATTGTATAAATAAATACCGTTGTCTTTTCTAACTTTTTTTTTCTGAATTCCACTCTCCAATCTCGATGATGATAAGTTAACAATTGTATTTTCATTAAATCGTGGATCATAAAAACCGACTGTTGTAAAAATTGTGGAGACGAGAATCTGAATTATCGTGTGTGATGATGCAGCTTTAATATAAAAGTAATTTGGAATACTCTACGTCACACCGATTCTAATGGATCATGTGGACATTCAATTAAGGAAATCCGTAGACAGTTTCAAACGTTACGAAGGTGGGAAGAAACACAGAACTCACAATGAAAAACAATCCTTCTTGCAGTAGGGCGTACATTTTTGAAATGCATGATAAATTCCGTATTGACGCGAAGCTAATGCGCACCTTTTTTTTTGCCAAATGTGGTACTCAAAATTGTGATGCACTTCAGATTCGCGTGCAAATGCTTTCCTAGACTGCCTTAACTTCCTTCAATTTTTCCATATATTTCGTCTCCATGGATCGCTGGATTTTTTAAATTCAATTTCGTTTTATTTATCATTGGTATATTATTAAGGGTTTTTAGTTATGATATGGAGGGCAAACGAAGACGAACATCTTATGATGCTTCATTAAATTGTAAAACAGTTACCAGTAAAGCAGTTAGATTGCTAACTATGAATACAATAAATCCTATTTCTGTATTCCACAAATTTAAATACAATACCGTGTCTATTGTTGTGTCGTTGATGCGCATTCGATTCGATTGGTGGCCTGTGCGGTGGCTTGTGGTGTGTGAGTAGGGTGAGAGCCAAGTGGCGTGTGGGGCTGTGCTCACCTGCGGTGCGCGGCCGCGGGCAGAGCGGAGAGCGCGGGATGAGGCGGCGCGCCCGGCCCCGCCCCCGCCCCCGCCCCGCCGCCGCCGCGCGCCGCCGCCGCCACGACGTCGGCCGCGTCGAGCAGCGCCCCCTGCGGCGCACACCGTGCCCACTGCGCGTGCAGCGCCTTCACCGCGCGCAAGCCACGCGCCGCCGCCCGGCGCCGCGCCGCCGCCAGGGCCCGTGCCCGCTCCTGCCGCCGCCACCAGCAGCTCAGCGCGTTCGCCCAGGGCGCGCAGCTCCTCGGCCACCTGCTCCAGGCGCTCCTGCGCGCCACGCCCACCTCGGTCTTTGCACACCGCAACCCCGCGCCGCCGCCTGCGCTGCGCTCAACGGGGATCACGATACCTTCGCGCCGGCCAACTTCCTCCCAGCGAGAGGGGGTCCTCTAAGAAGGGGCCGCTTTGACAGGTCCGGAAACAAGTAGACGGCATACAGAGCGATGACGGCATTTGTAAATGAGCTAACTGTAAACGAACGTACTGACAAAAGGAGTGCATGGATGTAACTTGCAGTCTCGTACAATGTGTGTCGCAGTGTCTGAGCAGTAGCTGGTAACCTCTCTATAAACGTAGATTACTATAAGAAGGGATGGCTTGGGCAGCTACTGCTGGCAACTTAACTGCCGTTCATGTCCATACACTCATTTTGTCAGTGCCTTCTTTTACAGTTAGATCGTTTACAAATGGCTTCATCAGTATCTCTTACAATGTCATCGCCCTGCATGACGTTCATTTGTTTCTCGATCTGTCAAAATGGTTCAAACTTAGAGTAACTCCTCTTTACAAACACAAGCCTAGGAATAAATATCACAAACTCCTAGGGCATGTACAGCAATCTGACGATGAATATGTAGTAGGAAATTCCGAGTTACACACGTGACATTTCCCCCTTTTAGTCTCAACTCTGCGTCCAGAGCAGCTTACACTGTGGCACAATCAAGGAGATTTCATGTACGTGCCGATCATGAAATCTCCTCCTATGCATAAAGGGTTGCCTAAAATCACGGGCAAGTGTCACGTGTGGAACTCGGAATTTCTCACAATAATTTCATTGGCAAAATCATTCCACCCCGTAATCATTTTCCACTCTGTACAAACGTTTGCAACATTTATTCTGGAACACCTTATATTGAGCTTGGTCCCTCCGCTAGACCGATTACTTTAGCCCTATTAAATCGCTTTGTCTCTAAACTAAAAAATGACTGGAAAATGCATGCAGCAAGCTTACTGTTGCAGTTCGCAAAGTATCTGACATGGGGAATCACCAGTTGCTACGCGTGTATGAAATAAATCATATTTTTTAGCATGCGTGTTTCAAACATTTTTTAGTTTTGTGACAAAGTATTACATGCCCAAAGTAACCCATCTTTATTCTTTGTATTATTTTTATGCTGCGTTTTAACGTAAAAGTCGAGGCAACTAAATCTATTCATTTTGAAAATTTAGAAAAATACAAATGCATTTCTATATCAAAACACGTGTGTAACTAAATTCATTCACTTCTCTCGAGTATAAAAGAAAACCTTATTTTCCAGCTCTCCAATTTTGCGACTTCCTTAGCAAAACTATGTTCTATTGAAAGTGTCTACAGCCTTCTCCCACAATCCCCAAACGAGGTGCTCACTCGAAAGCTATGTTCAGCCCATTTGAAGTGCAGAGGCAGCCAGACGGAGGAACGAGGCGGTGGTGCATGCTCAACGTACTTGTGTGCGAGTGAGGTTTCTCAGCGCTCAAAACTCTTCAGCTAAGCTCTCTCTCTCGCTCTCTGTTCCTGAAGTTCATTTCTTTATTGCAATGTACATTTCTTTTTGTCTCTCTGCTTGATATGACTGTTCGTCATTCATCACTTACACAGTTACATTTCATTTACTAGGCCGTTGAACTCAAGATGTGTGAAAGCAGCGAATATTTCTCTGATGGTGCGATTCGGCTATCGCAATTACGGCCTTCTCTTTGGAACGTCTGCACCCCCTCTCCACATACGCAGGTGGCTTATTACCAGTTCATACGAATAATTTCTTGCTTCATGTGGCTCTTACGGCGCTATAAAACGTTTAAAAATGTTTTCGTGTGTTAAAATATGTTTGTGCTATGCATGAAATAATTAAAGACGTTGTCATTGCCAACAATATTATTTAATGTAAGAGCAGCTTTCGATGGCTAAGCCATCGAAAAATGCCAAAGATATCACACCACAACACCTATATTGTGCTATGCATATTTATAATAAATTGAAATTTGAAAACATATTGCATTTGACTGACTATCTCACCCTTGGGCAGTGCTAATGTGAAAGTATCTATTAGGGCATTCAATTAAAATATATACAAAAACTAGTGTGGCTGCACCACTGATGGCGGTTCTTTCAGGACGTGATCCC